CCCTTAAGCTCCTTGACTCCTTCTGTCCCTGGGCCTGCATATCTTAGAGAATCTGCTTGCAAAATAAACTTGTAAGATTGCAAATTAGGTTGTGAGAAAAGGACTTTAACAATCTCTACACCTTTCTGTGATACCCGCTGTCAAAGCAGCATGAGCGATAAATGGCGGGGAACTGATATTTATTGAAGAGGGAGAGAAGCACCCTTGGCAGGGTCACAACACACTGTTATCCCCATTCCCTGACTCTCCAGCTTGTCAGGATCTTGAGCACGCATGCATGTACCCAGGGTGTTTTCAGGCCAACCCTAGGATTCAAACCTATAGTTGGCCATTTGGCCTTCAGCACTGCAGTTCTGTTTGCTCCCATCAAGCTGGGCCCACACCTGTTATCTTGGGTTTTTAAAAATGGGGTCTCAGTGTTGCAGTCCTCCTGCTCACCCTTCCAACTGAGGCTACAGGTATGTGCCAGCATGCCCTGCTCTCTTTTTGGACACAGTTTTACCATGTTGCCCAGGCCAGTCTCAACCCCACAGTCCCCCTGCCTCAGTCTCAGATACTCAGGGTTACAGGTGCATGCTACTATGTCCAGCCTTTCGTTGGACTGAGTCCCATTTGATCCCAGCCTGTGGGGCACCTCGTCCTAGGAGCATGCACTATTGCAGCTGGGCCCTTGTGTCTCTCTTCTCTCCGCTTCTTGTGAGTGAGTATTATGACCCTCGCTCTATAGAAGAGGAAACTCAGGGTCAGAGAGTTGTTACTTGCTCTTCAGCAAGTGTATGTCAGTGGGGGATGATAGGCTTAGGTTTCGATTCCAGCCCTATCAGATGCCAACATTTTTCCTTATTTCCCCTGTCTCCTACAGAACTTTTGATCTGAATTTTAGTTTTCTTTGTTATCAGCCAGTAACTAAATTTTCTCTTAATCACTAGGTTATATTCCTTCTTAAACCATTATATTAAAAATGTAGTCCTTGAGGGTCAGCCCCATAGCTGGTAGTTAAAGGGACCTAGATCCCACATGGCCCACTGCGGTTCAAATCTTGGTCCTGGTGGTTTGAAAATCATGTGGGACCATGTGCATGTGTGCCCAGAATCCTGACAGGATGGAGAGATGGAAGATAAGGGATTGTGGCGTGGGGCATACTTTTTCCCTGTGTCTCTGGCAAGCTCACGTGCCCTCTAGCAAAAAATAGCATAGTGCCTGAAAGTAGAATCTCTGCCTGTGCTTTATAGCTCGGATGTTAGTGCTTTGCTGTGGTGGCTCTTCCCCACTTCAATTTCTTTCTTTTTTTTTTTTTTTTTAAAGAATTATTTTATTTTAACTTTTATTTATTTACTTATTTATTTTAATTTGACCAGAGCGGGACTGGGAGAGAGAGAGAGAGAGAGAAAGCCACCAGGTCCAGGACTCGAATCACAGTTGGCCATGTGGGAATCCAGAATCCTTAACCACCCCGCCACCTGCCAGCCCCCATTTTCTTTTCTAAAATATTTTTTAGAGGCAAGGCTTTACCATGTTGCCCAGTGTGGCCTTGAACTCACAATCTCCTTGCCTCCTGAATAGCTGGGTCTATAGACATGTCCCACCTCTCAACACCCTACTTGAATTTCTTACCTGCCAGGCATCCTTTTCTAGTTTTATGTGCTCTTCCCAGCAATAGGGTTCTTGGTACAGCAAAATGCAGTGGATGCCTTCATTTTGCAAATGGAGTCTCATGGAGATTTTTATTTTACCCTCACATTTTCAGAGTTAGCATAATCCATCCAGCTGTCAGTTGATTTTTTTTCCTTTAGATACATTAAATTTTCATATAAAATTATACTTTCCCATTCTTATTGCCATTGCCTACCACATTGCCTAAATAAGTTGTAGGTATAAAGATAATCATTCTTGTTCTGGTGATACTGGAAAGCCAGGATACCAGCTGGGCTCAGAAAAGGGTCAGGTTGGCACCACTAGATGCAGGACTATGATGGTGGCCCTTTCACCATGAAATGGGATCAAGGGTATAGGCCAGAGAGCCACAATGCTAGTGACTTTCCATGTGTCGTCTGGCTTAATTCATAAACATTGCTTAGTGGAGGTGCTGAAACCAAGAGAAGCTAAGGACCTCGCCCAGGGTTACATGGCTAGTTAGTAACAGAGGCAGGAGCTAAACTGGGGCATGCTACATTTTATAGATGAGGAAACCAAACTGAAAGAGCTAAATGCCTTTGTGCAGTCATTCAGTAAGTGGTAGAGTTGGTATTAAATCCAGCAATCTCTGACTCCAGAACTCTTACTCTTTTTTTAGTAAACCATTTATCTGTCTGTCTGTCTATTTGTGTGATTTTTCAAGCCACTGGGGGTCTGGGACTCGAACTGCAGTTGGCCATGTGGGAATCCAGCATCCTAACCACCATGCCACCTGCTGGCTTTACCTCTTCACTTTTACATTATACTTCCTAGAATTCTGTTACAGATGATGTTAAACTGTTTATTGAGCCCATACTTGTTGTAGGCACTGTGCCTGATCTGGAAATATAGAAGTGGAAAAGGCAGCTCATGTTACCATGTCATTGGCAAATAGGCAAAACTAATAATGTAAAGCCTCATGTAAAATCTGTTATAGAAAGATCTAATCCCATATGGGGATAAGAGAAGAGTCATGAAAGGTTCCTTCTATTAAGTGATATCTAACCAAAAACATGAAGGAACAGTCGGGAAGAGTCATGTGGGTTGAGAAAAGGATGTCCTAAACACAGGAGAAAGCGTAGCCTTCTGATTATAGTAGCCCTTTAAGTGCATGCTTTAAACTCTACATTCTGTTCTGCATACATGTACTTGTTCTTTAGCAACAAGATAACATTCTGGTGGTCTAAAAACAAAACCAAGTACAAAAACAGGCAGGGTATGGGAGCAGTCAATTGTATTAGGGTATTACTTCCTTTTGAGCAGTGCTAAGAATGAGTTTACGAGTGTGTGAGATACTGATTTCTTAGGCTTCAGGGCAGCTAGTCAGGGACTGAGTGATCAGTGCCTCCAGCCACCCAGTCCCAAGTGGGGAACAATCTCATTCATCTGCCTGACGTACAGCTCCTGCTGTTTTCTAAGTAGCCATTGTGTAAAAAGAGTGGGAAACACCACTTGAGAGTATGGGATCGGAGGAACTTCATGCCTGGATGAGGACGAGAGGAAGTCTGCCTGCTGGAAACTAGGACCTTGGGTGGGACTATCTTACCTGTGAAAGAAGCTGAACAAAGCTACCTTGGTCAGTGGCTCATTTAAAGTTGTGTTTCTTGGGAACAGGGAATAGAGATTGTGGTGTAACCAGGAACTAGTCATAGCGTGCCTGGGTTTTTTGTATTCCTGATGTTACCAAAGGACAGAAATCCTAAACTGTCAGTGTAAGCCCTGGTTCTGGTCTAGAAGCCTCTGCTTAGATGGGGGAGGAGGACAATGGCAACATCTAGAAAAGCACTAGACAGCAGAGTGTGAATGGAGAGAGAGAGAGAGAGAGAGCACACACACAAGTGATCAAACACCCATTCCCCTCCAAGAAGAACTAATAAATTGAAATTCCAAAGCACATGAAGATAAGTAGAACCAAAAAAAAAAAAAAAAAAAGACAGTAAAAAAAACAAAAAAAAAAAAAAAAAAAAGACAGTGACGAAGAGATGATTTCATTCCCAACAGAATATAATAAAGTAATTTGAAAATTAATTTGAAATAAATATGTTTAAGATCATCCATGTAAGATGAAGAATAACATAGATGGAAAACTTCGAGGAAATTATGAAACAAAACCAGGCAGATTTGAATTTAGAAAAGAACTAATCAAAAGTACTGGGAATATAAAATTCAGTTATTAAGAGTAAAAATGAGCTGGCAAGTGGTGTGGTGGTTAAGGTGCTGGACTTCCACATGGCTGACCACTGTTTGAGTCCCAAACCAGGTGGCTTGAAACCCACAACAGTCACGTGTGCATGCGTGCCCAAAGTC